TAAATAACATATATTTAATATATTTTTATTTTTTATTGAATTTTGAATATATTTCATTACTTTTAACATGTATAAATTTGTAAAGGGCTTGATGCAATACTTTTCAAAAAAAATATTTTGGAACTAATTTATAATTACTAATTGGAGTAAATTTATCAGAAAAGCTCAATATTTTTTTGCATTTTTACTATAATAGATCACTGAAATAGAAATAATTTTTAAGTAATTTATGGTGTTTAAAAAGATTCTACAATTGAAATATGCAGAACTGAATTATTTTTAATGATTTACTTTAACTAAAAAAATAGCAATCAAAATATTAAAAATATTTACTCAATTGAGCGTTTTATAAAATTTGATCATAATTGTAAAAATCCATTGTTAAATTCATGTGAAACTAAAAATAATGTTACCAAAAAATATGAAATATTAATGACACACAAATAAAGTTAAAAAATTAATAAACTACAAAGTAAAATTATTTAATTTTGTAGTTGAAACCTATTATCATATCAAACATTATTCGATAGTTAATACTTTTAAAATATTAGTGAAAGTTGAGAAAATAAATGACAGTCCCTAAAAAAAAACCACATAGTAAAATAATTTTTTATATTAATAAAAAAATTCTTAAAAATGGAGGAAACTACTGTGTTGAAGTCCTTGATATTCATTGAAGTTATTTAATCTAAATGTGATAAAAATCAAGTGAGTTGAAAATTTTTTCTAACTAAATAAGAAAAAATGAAAGAAACTCCTTGCCATAACGCGAGTTGGAACTTCGTACCCCAAGCGTGAGAGACTCAATTATTACCGATCCGGCTTAATTGTACGTCGCCTTCAACGATTCATAAAAAGGCAATTTAAGATAGTTCAAATTTCAAAGTTATTTTTTTCGTCTTATAAAAAGCAAAAAAATTTAAATAAGTTTAATTTTTTTCTAGGTCAATTAGATTTATATAATATTAATGAAAATCAGTGTATTCCTCTTGTCAGGTATTTTAAAATAAAATAAAATACAAAACCGAGAATTTACCACAAAAATATTACATTTTTGAATGCGGTAGTCATTTTTACCATGATGACAAGTTCAGAAGTCAAATTTTGTTTATTTTCAAAATAAAGTATATTAAATATGCATTAATTTAAGGTATATATGAAAGTGTTAGTGTTTCCAGAACATTTTCAGAAGTTAAGTTGAAAAAGTAAATTTTTTGTAAAAAAATTGCCATTTTGAAACCCTGTCGTTGGGCAAAATGGTAAAGGGCCAAATGACCATAAAAATATATAAACTGATAAGTAAATACCTAAGGTATCTATAAAAAAAAACGGTAGCACAGTGGGGTCGCGGCATAGTGGAGACATTGCATAGTAGGGTCCAGTATAGATTTAATCTGACAGTGATTAAAATCACTATCATAAGAAACGCTTCGATGCAAATCTGTAGATAGTGTTTAATTTTAAAAAATTGATGGATAATTGCAAAAGCAACATCAACTTCTATTAAAATAAAATACAAAACCCATAATTATCATACAAAAATAGTATATTTTTCAATATGGTA